TGAATGAATGATCAAATCCATGTCCACTCCATCCCCTCCAACATTCCCCACTCTGAAGAGGTAACCCTAAAATCTTTTAAGGATTAAATACAAGCTCCCAAACACTTTTACCATTTTTAGCCTTTGGAAAAGAGTATGTTGCTAACAGGCCCAAGGACTTTAAGAAACTGTCTGCTTTTCTTTGGGGTCTTTCTACCCTAATTGCCTAGCCAATTCCTACCTCCTATTCTTATCACACCATCCTCTGAAGATGTTACCCAAATTGCTGATAAGGAATTGGGACGCAGACCACTCTGGCTTCTTTCATGCTGAACAGGGACACAGGGTGAGGCAACTGGAATACCCCCTCAGTGGGTCTATCTAAAGGACTCCCAAATTGTATAACTCTTATCTCTAAGGGAAGAAGAAAGTCCTTGAATCATGAAAGGGAGATGTGAAGGAGAAGTAAAGGCAAGAGTAATTAGCATTACAAGTTCTAGACAGGGAACTAGAAAAAAAGTCAGAACAGGGCAATTTTCAAATGTTCATATGAGAGACCATTGGAGTTCCTTGACAAGGACTTCCAAAAGCATCCCTCTATTGGTTCTTCCTCATTTTTCTTTTGTCTTCCAAGGCTGGACTAGTTGGCTGGGAAGAGTGGCTGGATACTCAGGTGAGGGTTCAGTGACCCTGCTTGGCACTCCTTTAATGAATGAGCACAACCGTCAGCAAGCTCAATTGTGACTATGTTTAGTGATCAGGATCAGCCGAAGTTGTGGTGATGGTGGTTATTTCATGCAGAAGGGAATGCTGTATAGCATCTTCTTATTAAAAGGACCACCACGTGGAAGCAGGATCGCGGGGTTGTCAGGCTGTCCCCTGGGTTCTCAGGCCCTCTGGTTGTTGGAGGCCAGTGGGAGGCCAGAACCCAGCACACTCTGGTGGTCTTCTGAGCTCCTAGCACCTACCCCAGTGGAGGAGGTCTGAACTCCACGTATTCAATTTTTTAATGTAAAATAAAATTATTACAATAAAAATGATATAAAATAAGAAAATAATTATAAAATTTCATATGCATTTAGTAATATTCTCAAAGTTTAAGAGATTTGCATAAGAGCACACAAAACCTTAAGACTTCAAAATCAGGGCTGGGTGGCTCAGTGGTTAAGAGCATTGGCTGCTCTTCAGGTGACCCAGGTTCAGTTCTTAGCACCACAAGCATCTAACAACCACACATAACTCCAGTTCCAGGGCATCCAACACCCTCTTGTGGCCACACATACACGTTTACACGCATGCAGGCAAAATACTCATTCATATAAAATGAGTGTAAATAAATCCAAGAAATAATTTTAAAGACTTCAAAATCTCCTTCTGTCAAATTGCATAGACACATGTTTTCTAAACCAAACATAACACTCCCAGTTCTTCAAACTGGTTCATGCATTATTAAACATCTAAAAACACAACTATGATAATAAATTTCACAATATTAAAAAATAAATCAGAAATGGCTAAAGAGTATTTCAGTTAATCAAAATGAAGAAAAGATATTTGGCTTAGAATCAAAACTTAGCTCTGTAATTTACTGTATGTCCTTGAGCAAATGGTGTAAATTCTCTGAGCCAAAGCTGTAAAAAAAAAAAAAAAAAAAAAAAAAAAAAAAAAAAAAAACACTTGTACAAAGCATGCACACATTTACTTAGTTGTTAAACTAATTAATTTTAATTTTAGAAAAGCTATTTCAGAAATAGATAGTATGACTATTTTTTTCCAGGATACAACGAATTGCCTTTATTTCGGCATGCATCCACATTTCAGTCTTTAATGGATCCTGAAC